GACCTGTGCAAGTCAGAGCAGGTGGATAAACGCTCCCTCTTCCATCCCTGGGATGGGGATTTCAGGGTTCCTTCTACACACATCCTCAGGGGGCCCAAGTGAGGTCAAGTCTGAGTAGAGATGCATTCACAATGCACTCTTGAACCGGCTCCTCCCATTTCCCTCTCTCTGACTTCGCTCCTGTTTCCCGGGAGCACTTTCCAAAATAATCCCCCTTTCAGCAACCTTCTTAGACTCTGATTTCTGGGGGGGAGTCAAGGCTGAAACTCCTCCTTGTAATTTTGTTGCCTGGAGATTGTTTGATTCTTGAGTCACTTATTCTCTTAATGGCTCTGATGAAGAGTCAAAGCAAATCTAAAAACAAGTTATCAATTTACTGAGAGCCCTTTCAAAGAAATTGGAGAGAAGTGGGGAAGTACAATACCAAGGTTCACACAGAGAGACACAGAGATACTACACTCAGTGAACATAAAGCAGAAATATGGTTTACTGATCAGAATAGAGACACTTTAGCTAAACCCAATCTGAATAGACTAAGTTGTAATTATAATTTTTCCTGAATATTTTCCCTCACATACCTGCCAGCTCTCTTGTGTTTCTCTTTTTCTTGAAAAATATGGAAAAGCATAATAGTTTAAACTATTAATGGATTTAAGAAAATCAGAAAAGAGCATGGGTGCCAAAAACCTGAAAGGTTGATACATGGAGACAACATTGAGTAATGAAGGATATCAGTTGTGGGTAGAGCAAGAAACTCAGGATTTGGCTTATTTCTCAAAGCAGTTGCTAAATTGGCCAGCTTCACGAGCAGGAAATTTTTATAATTGACTCGAGGGTTGGGCGAAGGTGTTCTTCATGCACAGGGGTATATACTACTCTAAAAAAGCACAAATTTGCAGAAGTTTATTATTTGTGATCAGGAAATTAGTGCCAGTAACAGTGAAAACACAGCACTTAAGGGTGCTTAGATTGCCTTGGGCAAGCAAATAAACCAAAAAACCCAGCCCGTTGCCGTCGAGTTGATTCCAACTTATAGTGACCCTATAAGATGGAGTAGAACTGCCCTGTAGAGTTTCCATGGAGCGCTTGGTGGATTTGAACTGCCGACCCTTTGGTTAGCAGCCATAGCACTTAACCACTATGGCGCCAGGGTTTCCTACAACAAATAGGGTTTCTGTAATGGAATGCGAATGGAAAGGAAGCCGAAGGTGCTCACGATAAGAAATGCCAAGGTTTTGGAGAGGGGTTAAAGCTGAACTCCTGCTCTGTGGATGGAACTGAAAGAGAAGAGACTACCAAGGCTTGCTCATCTTCCTTTTTTCATTTACAGTTTCTGTTTATGGTCCCTCCCTCTACCCCAGCTCTTTGTGGCTATTTATTTAATCAGCCATGCTTCCTCATTTCCCTGCAAAGCTCACTAGAGGTGCGGGTAGTAGAAAAGATGTGAGAAATGCCAGGGGAAGGGCTAGGCTATGGCATTTGTGGTTCAGCTCTACTTGGAAAACATATTTATTGTATTTGGAGGAGGGGAAGGGAAGTTTCTACGGCTCCAACCCACACTTGTCAAACTGTGGGCAATTGTCTTCATTAGTAATTAGATTGTTATTTGATGCCCTGAGTCTACTGCCAAAGTATTCTGCACCCGCCCATGTTTATTGACATCATTACTTCCACTTAACTGTTTCTCAAGAAAGCCTGCCACTATGATCGTGACTTTGCTCAGAAGTAAACTGAGGAAATCAGAGGCTTACCTACCCAGGATCATTCCTTAAGGGTCAAATTCAGTGTCAGTTTCTAAACCTGACCAGGTCTCACCCTATCACCCAGTCCCCCTGGGCCAGACTGCCGTGTTGCTCTAGCATTAAACTTATTTATTTAATAGACAACCTTTACATCAAAAACATAAATTAAATATTGAGTCAAGTTTGAATGTTGCCAACAGATATAACCAAAAAACCAAACCCATTTCTATCGAGTCGATTCCCACTCATAGGACAGGGTAGAACTGCCCCATAGGATTTCCAAGGCTATAAGCTTTACGGAAGCAGACTGCCACATCTTTCTCCCGTGGAGCAGCTGGTGGGTTCAGACCGCTGACCTTCCAGTTAGCAGCCAAGCACTTGATAAGGCCAACAGATCACCTTATACACGTAGTCCCCGATTTACGACGTATTTAAGTTGCGACGAACTGCACTTATGACCGTCCATTGCTTTTTTTTTTGGGGGGGTGGGTACAGTTTATCATTAGTAATACGTACTACATACAATGTTGCAGTGAATAATTTGCTGATGTTATCATTCTCATGCCAGCCTCCAAAGACAAATAAAGATCGGATTTATAAAGATGCTGATAATAAAAGACAATAATAATGAAAACTAAACCAAAAAATGAGGTATTTGACTTATATCAGAACTGACTTATGACAGACATGTCAGAACAGAACCCCGTTGTAAGTCGGGGACTACCTGTATAAATATTTAATCTGAGCTTTCCAGCCTCCTAACCACTATAAGCTCAATATGTCCAAAACTAAATTTATATTCCCTCCCAGATCTATTCCCCATCTGCTTCCTGTCTTAATGAATGATGTAACATGCATCTACTGAGTCTCAATCTAGAACCTGAGAGTCACTTCAGCCTCCTCTCCTCTCTTTGATGACCTGCTTATAAAGTTGTCTTTAACCTGAGCATTTGTGAAATGGTTTCTCAGAGAAAAAAAAATACACTGTTTTCCTTTCTCTCTCTTCTTTCCTAAACCTCTTTTCCTTCACTGTAGTAAGTGCTAAGGAAACAGTCCCTAGCCTCAAGTACGTCACAGCCAGGGCAAAGGGCAGGCATGTAAGTTACATTGCAAGGTGATAAAGCCTAGAGTAGAGGTATATACAAGGTACACTGAGCTTTTAGAGAAGATCAACCCCTACGAAAGGCTGCTGTTTCCTGAGTCTTAAATAGCAATTTTGAGGTTGCTGGGTGGTTAACAAGAGAGAAAATCTCAGTCAAAGGAAACAGCATATACAAAGTCAGAAGTGTTGATCTGGCAAGTTGGAGAGTTGTATATAGTGGTTTGTGGATCACAAAGTACTTGGGATGGTGGTGATGAAGCTAGATGGTCAGGTAGAAAGCAAGTATGAAGGCCAAGAGGGTAAGCTGAGGAGTTTTATTTATTATAAGAAATTAAAACCAATGAAGATTTTTAATAGGCAAGTTAGCAAATAAATTTTGCCTTTTGGGAAGGTCACTGTGGCAGAGTATAAAGAATGGACTAAAGGTCAGAGGCGCCTTTAGAAGACCTGTTCTATAGTTTCGGCAAGCTATGATACCTAAGCCAGCATAGAAATATAGAGATGATGAGGTAGAGACTGGTGGGATATTAGGAGGTCTTGGCTGATTAAATATGAGTTATAAGGGAGAGAGAGGGAGTCAGGATGGACTCAGGTTTCAGACTGAGAGATCATGGAGCTAGAAAGCAGAAGATGGAAGATGAGTTGGGAGGGAATATGAGTTTTGTTTTGGATATTTTCAAATTTTAATGCATATGGAATCATCCAGATGATATTATCAAGTGTGTATTTGACTATGCAAGATAAAGATGAGGAAAATGGGGGGAGAATGAGGAAAAAAGGCAGGCAGATGAGGAGATTCAGGAGAGTGGTGTCCCAGACACCATGAAGGAAAGGGTTTCAAGAATGAAGGAGTGGATACCAGGGTCAAGTGCTTTTGGAAGGTCATGTGACCTCAAGACGCAAGGATTTCATTAGCGACCTAAGCAAGAGAAGTGGTGGTGGTATGGTGGGGATGGACCCCAGGCTGCAGCAGGCTGAGTGAGGAAGACGAGGAAGTGAAGTATGATAGTGTACTGCTGTCTCCAGAAGGGGAGACCTGGAACTGTGCCAGTCGCGCTCACTGCTCTATCACTGGCATCCGGCATAGTCCCTGATACAGCATACATGTTTCCATGGAGTCAACTCTGACTCATGGTGACCCCATGTGTATCCGAGTAGCACTGTGCTCCACAGGGTTTTCAGTGGCTCATTTTTCAGAAGTAAATTGCCAGGCTTTTCTCCCAAGGCACCCCTGAATGAATTCGAACCCCCAGCCTTTTGGTCAGCAGCCAAGCATGTTAACCATTTGCACCACCCATGGATTCCTGATACAGCACAGACACTCCATACGATTTGTTATAAATTCATGAAGGGAGTGAGAGATTCAGGCAATAGCTAAATCTGGTCACAGAATCCAGAGACGGCTTTTGTAGTTGGTTTGTTTTTAGTGGTGAGACAATGGAGAATATCAATGTGCCAAAGGGGAAGGAGCCATTGCAGAGAGAGAGGGAGAGAAAACTTTAAGATACAGGAACAAGAATTTATACAATGGAAGAAAGTTCCCAAAGGAAGCAACAGGGGTAGGACCCAGAGCACATAGAGGGATTGAGGTAGACAAGAAGGAGAGATGAGAATCAGTCAGGGATTCATATGGATGAATTCATAAAATGATCTAGAAGTTGAGGGGTTCACAATGACAGTGTCTATGTTTTCTGTAAAATAGGAATCTAATGTCCCATGTGGAGAATTAAGCAGAAGACATAAGATAAGGAGCCTATGAGAATGGTGTTGCTTTGACCCACCTCTAACGGGAATGGAGAAAGTTCTTGATCAGGCATGCAAACCCTATGTTTGACTAAGAGGCGAGGAGACCTTCAGCTCTGGCCCTCCCAGAATCCCACCCTCGAAAGATGAAGCACTTCAGTTCACCTTATGATGCTATACCTATGCTCCTACCTTCGGCCTGGTCCTGTGAGCTGTGGGCTCATCCACCTTGATCTGGTTTTTCTCTACTTATAACAAGCACACTTGTAATGCACTATAGAGCCAGATTCCCGAGTCTAATAGAATGAAAATCTTTAAAGGGAAACATGTTGGAATTATTGGTTACATGGGGAAAATGTGTCAGAACTCAGTTAAATAGTGTTCTATCATTCCTGTCTCTTCTTTTCTTGCAGAAGTCCACTATGCAACTGTGTACTGGAAGAGTTCTGAAAAGGCAATGCGAGTCAAAGACATACTGGACAAGAATGGGGATGCCTATGGCTTTTACAATGACTCTATGCAAACTACAGGCTGGGGCATTCTGGAGATCAAAGCAGGGTATGGTTCTCAGGCCCTGAGCAATAAAATCGTCATGTTCGCAGCCGGCTATTTGGAGGGTTACCTTACTGCCCCGTAAGTACTCTAGTCAAGATCGAACAACTGCCACGAAAGCTCTTTCGCTCTCTTTGCTCCAAAAGTGGTTCTTGTCTTCCTGATATTGTACATTAGAACTTGACGAGTAGCTGAGGTCCTTCTTATGTGATAGAAACATTATCAGAATTGCATTTGTACTTATAATCCATACCTGCCTAGAAAGAACAAAAGCTCTCAGCTGTAGTACACTTCAGTTCTCATGGCACTTAGCTTTTTAAATCTTTGCTTCTCATGAGACTATTTTAAAGGTCAGCCAAGCCATTTCATCCTACTAGTCATTTATGGTCTGGTTGAAAGCAAATGAGAGGTGGAGTGACTCCTTGAGAACCAAAAAAAAAAAAAAAAACAAACCTCAGTAAAGATTAATTAAAAATAAAATATAAGAACATTTATTTTCAACAGTTTTGAAACAATACTACCAAATGGGCAAAGAGATTTTAAACTGAAATTTTGATGAGGCTGATATTAAGATTCCTTCCAGCCCTATTTGTTCCTTGATTCTGGTGTTCTTCCCTTGGCTGACAAAAATAACAAGTAGTTGTTAGCAATAATAATGCAATCAGGATACATCCTTTTCTGGGAACAGCTCTTTAAGGAAAATAAAGTTGCAACTCTTTGAATCAAGCCTCATCTCACCTTGAAATAAAAAGTGTCTTGATGACTTGCCTTTCTTTTATTCTCTGTGACCTGGGTTGTTGAGTGCAGTAGAACCAAATCTTATTTTGGGCTATGACTGTCTTAGTCAAATTAAGTGCAGTGCCAATCTTAATCTATTTCTGAGGACTAGAGATTCTATCAGATGTTGAATGACCAGTTATTGGGTACTGGCTGCTCTTTTTTTTTTTTAAACTACAAACATATTTGTTACCTTTATACTCAATTTTTGTTGCCCTGCCATACGAGTCCCCTTAAAAGCATGCTATTTGGAGATATATAAATCTGTATAAACTGTTTTAAACACGCCTAAAACTGTATTATACAGGTGAAGTCTGAACATATCCTCCTCTGTATCTACTGAGTTTTGATTGCATTATTTAAATTGAATTACAAGTTTGGAGAAAAAATTCTGCCCTAAACTGTGTGAATATACATAGATTAGATGGATTTATGGGTGATGCGTGTAGTGGGCTATTAAGGGAAACTATGCAATTTGAGGAGCCCTGGTGGCGCAGTGGTTAAGAGCTCAGCTGCTAACCAAAAGGTCAGCAGTTCTGAGGATAACCATGTCTTCCTTGAATATTTCTGCTGGTGTCACTGTTAAAGAGAGCTCAGGAAGTTTGACTGAGAGGGTGTCTTACAAAATTGGCGGTTCTGATATTCTTGTTTCAGAAAAAAGAAGTTTTAGCATCTCATAGCGGCACTTTAGGGGCGGCTCTAGCATTGTATACCTTTGTGCCTAACACAAGGCATTGACATGTCCTTGAGTACCTCTATCCATGTACCAAAGAGATACATAGAATAAGAAGCTGTTCTGTTTATAACTTTATTTATATTCCGTGTTAGAGTAAAAAATGATTGGCTTAAATGTATGTTTTTGAAAAGCTGCTATTCAATAACTATTTTCTTATTTCTTATTGTCTCTTTTGCCATGTACTTTCCAAAAAAAAAAAAAAATTCCAGCAACTGAATCTGTATTCCCTTTAGACAGTAGGAGCAGCCCACTGGCAAATGGTCAGGAGTGAGGGAGAGATGGGCCTAGTAATCTCAATCTGATACTTGATCCTTAAGGAAGAATTCCTGGTAACATCTCTCCTGCAGAGAACAACCTCAAAGGAGTGTTTTAAGACAGGAGTCCAAGAGAGGAAGGCACTTGAGTGGGCCAGAGTAGTTAGAGGCAGCTTTGTGGCAAATGTGGGTTTTGGGTCTAGTGCTTGATAGATGAGAACCATCTGGCTTGGCTGGGAGGAGGGATGGAGTCATTCTGGGCAGAAGGTAGCAGAATGGAGTACTTTAAAAAGGCACTGAGTCTGAAATGAGTACGTTACATTTATAGTGAAAAACGGTAGAGGTTCCAATTGAGCAAGCAGAGGGCAACAGAATTTTAAAAGCAAATGGAGACCAAGTTGTGGAAGACTTTGGGTGGGGGGTCCAGGAGTGGATTAACCAGTAAGCAAGGTACACAGGGCTTACTAGTGTTTACTTACTCATCTATGGTGCACATGGGTTTCCAAGATGTGGTGGGAAACAAGTGAAATCGTGCACTACGTGTTAGTTAAGTAAGCACAGGTAAGCCCGTGCATACCTGTTTATTGGGTAATCCGCGCAATTCAGAGTTTATCATTCCGTACTTCAAGTATAGTGCGCTCAGATATTTCTTGAGTTTGAAAGAGGATCTTTCTGCTCATCTCTGTCTAGTATTTGTGGCTGTGGTAGCTCTTCCCACCTCCTCAAGGCTGGGTCTCCCCTATGTATGGGTACCGAGAGTCTGAGAGGGCGTCCGCTCTGCGGAACTTCTGGTATTTCTCATTGAACAGTCGAAAATGTTTGGTGAGCAGGAAAATGCATGATAATAGAACTGAAGTGGGGAGTGGAAGATGAGAGGTTAATATTTACTCTGACACACAAGGGGTCACCGTGAGTCAGCAGACTCCACAGCGGCTGGTTTTGAGGAAAAGAAGAAGAAGAAGGACTCTGATTAGAAGGGTCTTTCCCATTCGTTACTTTTCACACTCTCGTTCTAATTGCATTACCAAAAAGTCAAATATAGTAGGGGAATTTCCAAATTAGCTCGCGTTTAAAGGGCCTGTTCTGTGCCTAGCTCTAAGCTAGGACTAGTAGGGTGTGACCCAGCTTGCTTAGAACCCTGATAAGTTATTTACTGGCAAAAATGCAACACCATCCAAGGCAGTGGGTTAGGGGAGAGATTCCATTGATTCTGTTCCTCCTCTCCTGATAGGGTCCAGGAGATTAAGGCTCCCACAAATTCTGGTGTAAAAGAGAGTTTTGAAGGAGGGAGGTATGCTGAATGGAGTAGGGAAGTTGGCCTCACAAGTGGAAAGAGAGCAGGGAGATAGAACAGAGGAAGTGCTGGAAGGATTCACAGGGCTGTGACTCCCAGACCTAAGGCCGCACCAAGGACTGCTGCAATCAGCATCCCAGCTGCACAGCCCACCATCTTGACTGAGTGAGAGGCAGGATGGCTCCCTCCCAGCAGAGGTATCCAGCATTCTCTGAAGCAAAGCATAAGAGCTTACAATGTCAGCCATCTGGAAGCTGTGACTATAGCCACAAACCAATAGTGAGGAAGGAATACAAGTCACAGGCTAGGTTTCTCTTTTCAGCTACGCATGGACAATTGTCTGAGCAGCAATGGCATTTTCAGACACAAACATTTTATCAACTGAAAACATACTCCTGGAGACTGTTATTTGAGGATGCTTTGCAAGGTATGATACCATAGAGCAACATGCAGTGTTGGACTAAGGGCATCTGAACCTGGGCTGGCAAGAATTCATACCAGAGGCCAAAAGAAAAAGCCTTTTATTGTTTTCCTCTCAGCTTGCAAGGTTGCCCGGGCAGCTGCCAAGAACAGTGGGAAGTTTAGAGCCACCACTTTTTACCACAACACCACAGCTAAAATGGAGTTGTGTCCTTTATATTCTCTTGAACCATGAGAGGGAGGAGTAGTGTGAAGGGGTGGATACTGTCTGATGAACAAGAGAGATACTCAGATGATCTGATCAGATATAAAGTCAATCCTCAGTATTCATGGATTTTGTTTTTTGTTAATTCACCTACTCACTGAAATTTATTTGTAGCCCCACATAACTTTCTTAACCCTCTGGCCAATTTTACAACCCAGGAATGTTTCCTCAAGGACCTGGAAACCTCTTTGAAATGCAATCAATCAAGGAAGAGAGCGCTCCATCTCTCAGTTTCCTAGGAGAACAGGAGCACAACTTCCCGCTGGGAAACATTTTGTTCCGTTATACATGGGGTCACCATAAGTCAGAGCCAACTTGACAGCAACTAACAATAACATGTATGACAATGGTGCTGTCAAGTCTTCTTGCTTGAGATCTAGTTATTATTTCTCTTGAGAACATGTATTAAATGGATTGCATTTGCTTGGCTACATGACAAGATGAAATTCCTTTCTGTCTTTGCAATCTAGTGAAGTGCCCGTGATGCATATCACATTCTCTTTTAATGCGTATTCAATATTCTCTCCTACTTTTGTGGAGAGTTTGTCTAGGTTGGCAGGAGATTTTGTTTCTAATTATTCTTCCCCCGTTATGTGCAGAGTGGTGAAAAATTTGAGTCACCTGAGGTGCACATTTCCAGCTCAATTTGAACAGGATCATGCTCTGCCTTCTTGTTTCAACTCTCAAACTGTAAACAAGTGTCCTTTTCATGGAATAGTTAGTGCCCGTTTTTCACATTTTCGTGCTTTTTGTTGAGGATTTTGCTGTTTCAACAGCCCCCAAGTTTTGTGCTGAAGTGCTGTCTAGTGTTCTTAAGCACAAGAAGGCTGTGATGGGCCTTACGGAGAAAATATATGTTAGATAAGCTTGTTGTGATCGAACAATGTTCTTTTGTGATCCATAGGGTTTTCACTGGCTGATTTTTGGAAGTAAATCATCAGGCCTTCCTTCCTAGTTTGTTTTAGTCTGGAAGCCCTGCTGAAACCTGTTCAACACGCAAGCCTCTATTGATAGATGGTGGTGGCAGTGCACGAGGCGTGTTTGTTGGGAGGAGAACCCAGGTTTCCCACATGGAAGGCGAGAATACTATCGCTAGACCACCACTGCCTCCATTAGAATTTTTAGAACCATGATTCTTGAGAGCCGAGTGCTACCTCGCCCTTCTCCACCTATTGAAATATTGCTCATCCTCCAAGACCCATTTCAAATCTTGCCTTGTTGATGAAGTTTTTTCTGATTCCCTTCCCACTGGATTAGGGCTCTATCTTGAATCGTTGTTGGGGTATACAGTCCCCTCTCCCCTTCACCACCTGTTAGTGCCTTAAAGGCAGGGTC